GAGTACAACAACGGATCGGGCTTTTACTGCTGCTGTAGTTGAGGTTTAGCAGAGAACGAAAGAAGAAGAAGAAGAAGAAGCAAGAGAAAAAGAAGAAATAAAAGAAGGCTAAGAAGGAGGAGGAGGCCAAGTGATGATGACACATGTCAACGTTTCTACCACTCTGACGCCATCGCAGAACCAGGTCATCATAGTCAAACACTTTCAATGACTTTCCCAACATGTTTTTCATCATCATCAAATCATTATTACTGTGCGGATTACTTAGTTTCGGAAGTAAGTACGAAACCTTCAGTTTTTTCCTCTCCTTGTATTTTAATTTAAAAAAAAAAAGAAAGAAAGAAGCAAAACAAAAACAAAACAATGAATGTCTACACAAAGCAGCATGTAGATGTAGTTATCTCTTTAGCTTTTCTTTATATAGTTATAGATCTTTCTTTTATTTTTATTATTATTGTAAAAAAAAAGAAGAAAAATGTAGGTTTCTTTGTTTTGCAGCATGCTTAGTCTTATAAACAATGTTTCGATCGTTCCCATTTTCTTTTCTCTCTATCTATGTTTTACTTTTATATTCCATCCATCGAGTAAAGAAAGGAATTACATTTTAAAAAAAAATGCTATAGATTTATCTTTTCAATTGCAAAATATCCACCCTAAAAGCATGTAAAACACTAATTTAAGATCTACCTACCAAAACATAGTTAGTAGGCCGTCAACAACCAAGTAGTGTAATTAAGTAAATCTGTTGTAGTTTGGGTTCTCCACTCGTGACCTAGTAAACCATGGCGTGTGTGAATGTAGCAGCAGCACACACACATTTTATGGTCACAAATTGGGTGCTCTGTTTGGTATAGTAATGAACATGCAAACTGATCCCCAATTTTGTAACCACTTCTATTGGATATAAAATCGGGGACTAGTTTCTATATTTAGTCCACATACAAACCGATCCCTCATTTTCCCGATATTTAATTTCATTAATAAAAAAAAAAAGAAGAAAAAATTGTTTTTATAAAAGTGCTGTTACTTAAAACTAAAAGTTAAATCATTGCTGCAATACTTTTTTAATTAAATTATTATTAATAATAAAAGATGTTTTTCAAATGATAATTTTAAAAATAAACAAACAAAAAGCTTAGATTGTTTTATGATCATAATAATTTTAAATATTTTTTGAAAATCAGCCGTAGAATCGCCGGTTTGCTATTTTACTCGTGTGGAACGAGGTTTTGCTGTTGACCTATTAAAACCGTTGGCAAATAGTGTAGGATGGTCATAAAGTGGGGGATCCAATTAAGTTAAGAACTAAATTATAAACTGATCCCCGACTTTCCGACGTATCCATTGCTAGTATTGAACACTGTAGTCCTACATACTTCCGTCAATCGGTAGTACGACTAGTGGAAAGCAGTAGAAAGTCGAATCTTTTACTGGTGACCTAATAAACTCTTCGAGAACGACGTGTGTGCCACTATTATTGAAAGAAAGAGAAAAGATATCCATTTTCTCTTTGGGAGAAAAAGGCTTGATCAGGAAAAAATTTATTAAAAGATAATCACTTTATTGAATCTCTAGCTTTTAATTTATTCCTCTTCAACCCCTGATGGATTTTTTTATTTGAATATGCATTATTTTTTTTAATTTTGTTTTTAATTTCATTTATTTTACAATTTCGTCGCACAAAAATAAATTCTTCCAGTTAAAATCTTTTTTGCAAAAACTAAAGAAAAAAAAAAATGAATAGATAAAAATAATAAGCACAAAAAAACTATTTTTAATTGCTAGAAAATAATTCTATCTTATTTCCCGCGCTAAGCGTATTTTCTTTCATGTTAAAAAAATGTCAGGTTTTTTTTGCCAGTATCTATAAAAAAAATGCAATATCTCTCCAAAACAATCTTTTGTTTGTTTTTTTTTTTTAAGTTATCTTTGATTTTTAATTTAAACTGGAAAAGACATTTCTTATTAAAACAATAAGCATTTTTAGTTTGTTTTCTTTTTGAAAGTTAAAAATCGGATTCTCCTAGTTAGTAAGAAAAAAAAAAGATCCTAAAGTTCTCCATCCGTTCGTCAGTAAAAAGTGTCACAATTAATGGTTTCCTTTTTTCATTTGTTGTTGAACCAATGCTAATGTTTTCGTTCTGAACTCTAATAGTAAATAAAATCTCGATAACTAATTAATTGGTGATGTACTAGCAAGAAGTGTTTCTGTTTTCGGGCTTTCAAACGGTTTAAAAAAAAAAAGAAAAAAGAAAGGTTGCTAAAACATCGTGGTCAGGCTACAAGCAGGAAGAATGGGGTAGAAGAAGCAAGGTTGTCGATGTTGTACAAGTGTTGGGTGACCTAAATCCGGAGAAGGAGTTGCCTGCTTGCCTGCCTCCTTGCTTACCATTGCGCTTCTCTCCCCCTTCCGGGTTACTTCTAATTTTTAAAGTATTTATTTTTAAAAAAATAAAAATAAATAATACGAAATGGCCATAAGAAAGACAAGTAAACGTGTTTACAAGCATTCTTATAGATCATATGTCATTCTTTCGAAATTCAAAACTTGTCATCATCCCCCCGACCAAAGCTATCACAACACCAGGGACTCGTGAAAGTAGGGAAGAAGAGAGAATATTGTTGTTAAGCTATTTTCTAAATTTCTATTGATGTCACCTGGTGATGGTAGGAGGATTTACCGAACGTGATGTTAAGCAAGATTATGTTGAATCGAATTCTTGTTTTTATTTTAAATGGAAAATAAACTTGGCATGAGGATGAATATTTCTGATTATTTTCATTTAGTTTTTTTTGCTTTTTCAAGAACATTTTTAAATTGAAAAGAAAAAGTTTCTGTTTAGTTTATATAATAAAAATGTCACCTTTTTAGTTTTTATATAATCATTTGTTCACGTGTCATTATTACAAATAATCAGTTATCTGAAAATGTTTAGCTTTTTTTTCTAATAATTATCATTTCTAAGTTTTCTTAAGTAAACGTGAACCTTTAAAAAATTGAATACGACCACCATTGTATTGTTTATTCATAGTGGAAATAACATGCCGTTCTTTCACAAAATGTAAACTGTCGATTGCAAGGTCATAGAAAGTTGTGTATTATTATTATTGCTGCCTTTTGTTCTCTTTATTTTTCTTTCATTTATTCACTTGTGGAGTTCTTTGCAACTTGACCTAGAAGAGACGACGATAAGTAGAGGCTTGTTTTTCAGCACATACTGGATAATTCCAAAGTTAGACTCCGGAGAGTTACATAGCATCAAGAAAATTCTTTTCACGTTGAAACTGAAACTTTCTCTACATCATAATGATGTATTTAAAGACCATTTTAGAAAAAAAAATGAGTTTTTACAATACATTGAGAACCTTAAAGTAAATTATTAAGTTCCAACAACCAATTTAAGTTAACTTTAAAAAAAAGTATTGGACATGTGGAGTGTTACTGTTCACTAACGCATGTCATTTCTAAAAAATATGCTGGAGATAATTACTGATTAGATAAAAAATTAAGCTAGATATATTACAGAAGGGGTAAATAAAGAATTTTATCTAGTAGATAAATGTACTTTTCGTTACAGAGTTCCTATGAAAGATGTTGAGAGACTTACATTTGAAGAGTTCTTTATTGGTTGGGTACAATTATATTATGCTTCTTGTGTGTTGTACTTAGACTTTCTGTGATGTGTTCAATGTTATATGAGGTTTGCTGAGGACCAAAATAAGATCCTATCTCTTAGGTATCATGCGGCTAAAAGAGAAAAGAAGCTATTTATTTTTTTAAATACAGAAAATATGGCACAAGGCCAAAAAGGCAAGGTAACGAGAAGCTTGTCATCACTGTCCTTTTCTTTAACCTAGCTAGTCACAATCACTGACCCATTCACCCCAACAGTATTTCTTTCACCAAAAATACCACATTTACATTTGTCTTTTGCAGAATTTCTTTGGCAGACAAGTGGGTGTAAATCCCACAATATTCCCCAAGTTAGCAGTATATTTTGTTTCTTATATGTAGAAATCTTTTAGGGTGTTGCAAGTGTAACAAATGTAAACTGTAAACTTGAATTATTAAGTTGTGATGTGTGTGAACATGTCAACAAGAATGTATTTACTGAACTACTGTGCAAAGTAATGTATGTTAGATGAAGCACATTCTGAAGAAAAGTGTAAATACTGTGTTTCCCTTTGAAACAACCAGTGGTGAGGTGAAGTTAGTAGCAGTTATAAAATTTGTGGTTGTTTTCCACTGTAACCAGTATTGTTTTGAGCCCATGAATTTGTAAGCTCAATAGATTTGAATTTGGTAACCAAATTGTAACTGGGTGGAAGAGTTAGTAACCTATGACAGAAAGGGTTAAGAAGACGTAGCATATCAATATTATTAGTCATTGTGGCTATATGTATTTTGCTCCACATGTGTTGAAAAATTCTATTGTAAAAACCATGTTTCATAGTTTAAATTTCTTTTGTTGGGAAGTTATATGCAAAAGATTTTCATATTCCTTTGAGGAGTCATTTTTATTATGACTAGTGATAGATTAAACTATATCTGTTTGTCACACATATATATATATATATATATATATAAGCAACTTCTGTCTGTCCATCCATGTGTCTGAAACCCCTCCAACTGGAGCCACACTTGCTCTACGTAAACATATGCCTTTTTGTAATCAGAATTATCCCAGGATTGAAAATCTACCCTACATCTGGTCATCTAGTGCTTGAATGTCCAGCATTAGGATTTCTGTTCGAATGAGGAAGGAACAGTTAAAAAAATTAAATGACTGAATATTGTATTAATTTCTTGGAGATGATGATTTTCAGATACAAGTTTTACTATCTAACCACTAGATGGGTGAGAAAAGGAGGATCCATACCTTTTCCAAAGGTATTTGCACATAAGTGAATGTAATGAACCCAACTAGAATTTGAACTCAGCTCTCTGATTTCTCATTCTAAGCTCTTATCCATTACACCAACCACACATCCAAGCAAACTTACGGCACCTGGTATTCCCAAGCAGTCACCCATCTAGGTAATGGCTAGGCTCAATGTTGTTTAACTTCTATGATCAAATGAGAATCAGTGTTTCAACATGACCTGGCCGAAAACCTGAAAGATTGTAAGAGACCTACATATGAGAAGAATTCTTTATCAGTTGGTTTGGTACATTAGATATACTTATGTGTAGTCAAATAGGCTTAGGGCATTGTTTGCTGTGTTACGTTCATTGTTGCTGGGTAATGAAACATGTCTTATCTCTAAGTCTTACTTTGCACTCTTTACTCTTGGCAATGTCATCTAGTGGTCCTTAGTAGAAGTTCTTTAGCTGACATGTGGGGCAATCCCACAGATATTCAGATTGGATTAGAAATACTGATTCTTACATAATCATCAATATGAGTAATACTTGAAATATGGGTGGCTATTATTTGCTAATAAAACTGTAAAAAAAAAAAAAAAAAATTATGAAATGCATAAGTAGCAAAAAGACTCTCACTAAGTATTATCTAAAGAATTACATAAAGAAGAAAATTTGTTTATTGTCATTATCCTTGGATGAGTTTTGTGTTTAATATTGTATCACTTGATAACAATTTTCCTTTTTTGCTAATGAGCATCACTTTCCTAACATCGTATTTTGAATAATTTTTTTCTGTTCAGTAATGGAGGAGGGTTTTTTTGATTTTTTTTTTTTTTTCAAATCAATCATTTCATCCCAAACAAGGCAATAAAGCCACTAAGATACAAGGGGATACTGTGTGAAAAAATATGAGAAAAAGAAAACATTATTAAAGAAAGGAAACAATAAAAAAAACATAATAATGAAGACAGAAGATAACGATTAATGTTTCATTTGAAAATCAAGTAGATGGAAGAGATTCCTAGAAGTGTGAGTGAAGAAATTGCTAACATAGAACTTATCGATACATCTAGCCATAAAATGATGAGACCTTTCTGTCAATCTAGTACTGCGCTTAAATTCATAAAGTCTAGAAAGGAGAAAGCTCATCAAAACAATTACCATGAAGATATAGAAAATGCACAGGGAAACAATATTACAGTAATTGGAAATTGACTGAACTCAAGATACTTGATCAGGACCAATAATATTGCAATTTTTAAAAATCTAAATACATAGCAGAAGCACCAGACCAAATGTAGCAGCAATACTCAATGCATAGATCAATGGTAGACTTATAAATGTGTAAGATAGATTCTGGCATGACTCAATGAGCCAACTTTCCTAGCGACAGACCTAGCAATTAATTCAATATCATCTTTTCACTTCATATTAGTGGAAAACATCAGCCTAAGGCGACACAGTAAGTTACTCTCCTGGAGGTTAGCATCAGCCATGTTGATGGAAGGCAAATAAGGTTCTCTCAGATGATTAAAAGAGAGTAGTTTTGTTTTTGGTGCATTAAAATTAACGAACAAACAATTTCTTGCCCAATTAACAAATTGTAGGTCATTTTTTATAGCTGCTTATTTGACCTTATCGAACTGATCCGACTTAATCCAGTTGAGTCGGAAGTAATTTGCATTTTTGGGGGCCAATTGTAAGGACTAATGTGTCATCCTAACACCATATGGGGCAGTTAAGAATAAATTTGGAGCATCCTAACACACCTTAGTTGTTGTATGACAATTGCAGCATACACAGTGGATTAAAGAATAAATTTTTTAACCCCACCGATAGAGTAATTAAAAGTGTTATTTATGTCATATAATGTTATTGGAGTTCAAGCAAGGGAATAATGCTATGAAAACATCTATATAAATATGTAGTGTTTATGGTGCAAGAGTCATAATTAATTAGCAAGTATGAAATTGGTTAACAAAATTTTATTCTGGAGAAACATTGTTAGAAGATGAAAGATCGTTGCTAAATGAAAATTATGACACAACCTAACACACATATATATATATATATATATGTGTCTGCTAGAGTGGTCAGGCAATCTCTGGTGTCACTGCTCATTCAAGCACATTTTATGTTTCATCAACATCCACAGATCCAACCTCTTGTTTATAATATATACTGCAACTATTCTGAGCAGACCTTACAATTTCTGGGAGAGACCACATGATCAGCGGTTGGACAAGGATTCTACATTCAAGGTCTTGTTTAGGATGACTTGTGACTTTGTGTGGGCACAACCATGTGACACCTTTAAGGAATGCCTCAAAACTATGCCACAAGTTGACTTAAACTTTGTGAGTGAAATTAGTGCCAAGATTACACACAAACACACAGCAGAATAAGAATTAAAAAATCTCATTGGTTTAAATTATAAAAATTATTGGTTAGAAGTTATAATTTAATATTGAATGCTAAAGTCAGTGGTAGTATAGAAAAATATTGTGCTTACCTTGTAAGTCATTAATAGTGAGTTTGTATTACTGTGTTCTCAATGAGTTTGTTTTTGTGCCCAATAAATATCTAAATTTAATAATATAAAGACATGCATTAACCCTTTGAGCTCTGGCCACCACTTTACTGGTGGTAGAGAAAAATTAATGATATAATGCCCAGCCACTGGTTGAACAGTGGTAAAGAATAATGACTTCATGCTCAGCTACCAGTTGACCAGTGGGTAAATGCTTATAACTATTTTTATATCTACTGTGAAACATTACATACCAATTATTTGTAAATTTTGACTTGGGAGCTCAGGCAGAAGAGTTAAAATTGTTCAGGAATGCAAGGTTTAAAGGGTTATGGGTTGCTGAAAAGTCATTTGTGTCAGGTCCAGGAACATTTCAGGCTTCTGCTACTGATTGTCATTGTAGATATATGGATATTTTCACTTTAGGACAAAGCCTCATTTTTAGGGTGTCATTCTGCAAAATCAATTTCTATTAATCTGCACTTTAAAAAAAAAAATGACTCTGTTATAAACTTGCATATTACTGAATATACTAACACAGTTTCAGAAATGAAAAATGTTTATTTTTTATTGAGATCTCTCTTAAAATTTAAGGTATCTTTTTGAGTGATGTAATGTTTGATGAGTTTGTTGATTAAATTTTCTCTTGAAAAAATAAGAAAATGTGAACTTAAAAGCAACTTTTTGATTTTAAAAAAAAAAAAATTAGCTAAAACATTCTGGGAGACACTTGAAAGTAGAGTCTTTAAATAATTGATACAACATGACACTAATAGTGCATTGTGTTCACTGTTCACAACAGCTATTAATTTCAGATGTATAAACTAGCCTTCTGTTCAAATACCACCCACTCATTATTAAAAGGACCTAGTAGCTTTGGTGAGCTGCCAGCAGGACGATCATGGAGTAGACTTGGGGAACAGTTTTTTTTTGTTTTTGTTTTTTTTTTGTTTTAGCACCTGACACAGGCAATCAATTTTATTTTCTATTTTATGGTGAGTAATTCTGTAGGGGGTCAGTATTGGTAATGAGCTTGAAGGGAAGAAATGTTTCTACACATAATCTTTGCTATTCATACTTTAAGTGGGTGTCATCAGAGAAAGTCAAGATCTAAGACTTCATTTCCTTCCTATTACAAACAAGAAAGCCTTTGCATTAAAACAGCTACTATTTCTATTGGACTGTTAATTGAATCCATGCTAGCCACAAATAAATAAATGCAAAACTATATCTGAGCTTATACTTGTCCACTCACAAGCAATGAAAGCTGCTGCTCAGTTTGATTGTACCGATTCTTAACTTATCAATGAAGACTTCAAGAAACTATTTTGTGTAGCAGTTTTATGGCTATTTTTTTTTTTTTTTTTCAATCAATAATTGTCTAAAAAACAAATCTATTTCTCTAATAGGTGACTAAATTATATATTTGGTTGGTTTTGTTTAGTGGCATATCAACATCTCTGGGTTATTTAATGTTAAAATCTAAATATTTTGAACACAAATTTTATGGCTTCAACTACAGATAAAATGTATTGTTGGTAATTCTACTATAAATAGGTATTTTAGATAATTTTTTTTTTTAAAATATAAAAATGTATTACTGGTATTTGTATACTTTCATAATGTTTTGTTTTTGTTCTCCTATTTGTCCATAGCTAGGACCCTAACATGTGTGACCATTCCAGGCCAGTATGGACCGGGGAATAACAGCAATTAAGAGGTGGTTTCACACTCCTCAAAACCTCCAATCTCCCAATCTGAGTCCTTGCTGCCAGATGTAGTTTGTCATACCCAGTACTTTATACATTTGGTATTGTTTTTATATAAGACATTCTAGGATGTCTAAAATTACTTGATGTTTCACACTCATTTTGCAGATCAAATTGTTAATGTATTTGAGTTTGATTTTCTCCCCGCTACTCCTGTTACTCTGGCCTTGTGCCAAACTAAGTTCAGCATGAATGCATTTACATCCATTATTGATTAAATTAATGAAGGAGAATTTTTTTATTCTATGAAATAAAAACTTTAATTTTTGCTTTTTATTTAAAGTTTTCATTATTAATAAATATCAAATATCTGTGATTTGTTTGCAGCTATGAATTTGAACATGAGGTTGTATTCTGAGCCTATTTTGAATAAGTCTGGTAATAAGAATTTAGAAAGACTGATTAATCTCGCCTTATTATTAGCAAGGAAATTGATAAAGTGAAATTTAGTTTATATATAAAATAATAATGTCACTTATTGATATACATAAAATTATATAATATCAAAGTAAACAGAATTTTTGCCAATAGTAATCTAGAGCAATAATTATTGAATCAGAAGTATTTTGTGATTCTTCACTCATCAGGAATCATAAAAATTCTCCAAGTCCTGATGAATGATAAATCACAAAAAAATAAAATAAAAAAAAGTTGGCTTGATATTTATGAACTCTCTCTCTCTCTCTCTCTCTATATATATATATATATATATATATATATATATATATATATATATATAAGCAAGTGTAAATGGATATAAATCCGACAGAATGAAGAAATTTGAAAAAAAACAAACAAAATATTTAACTACATTTAAGGATTTTTTGTTTGTTTTTTCAAAATTTCTTCATATATATATATATATATATATATATATATATATATATATATTATAATATTGCATTTCTAGAAATGTATAGTGACTTTCAAATTAAGAGTTGAAA